CCCGCACCGCTTGGGGGTATTTGTTGCAACGTCGCTCCCAGGCCCCCAGGATCCTGCGTCCAAGGTTTTGGAGGGATTGCAACCCTTCTACTACCTCGGCCGGCTTCTTCACGCCGGCTATGAACATCTGTGGATCGCGCGCGGTCATGGGAGATCTGCCCCTCTGACTTCGATCTTGGCTTCCTGTTCCGTAGGCCACCTACTCCTCCTTCGCGGCCCTGATCAGCCCAACGTTCATCCCTTCTGGTCGGAGATGTTTGCCGCCTCCTCTTTTACGACTTCGTTGTTTCCTCGAGCTGCATCTCTGTCCGTCGATGGGGATAGTTGCGCTCCTTCCCTCTTCCTCTTGTCCACCGTGCTCTTGGTCTAATTCCTTCAACCTGCCTTCCCCAGAACTCCGCCGTCGCTATCTTCTCAAAGTGGTCCACCAGCAAATCGGCGTACTTGTTGCAGTTCCCACGGGTATTCCCCCGACTCACGATGGCCCGATGAGCTCCCACATCTGCACTCCGCATTCATCTGCTCGACATGCCCGCGAACTGCTGGGGTTTCCACGAGGAAATCTTGGCCCCAGGCAATCGAAAGAACCTCGCGATCTCGGTCATCCCCCGCACCGAAACATGTTCGTCGTGCTCAGACGGAGGTGGGTTTTCTTAGTGACCGGTTTGTGGACTATTGAGGACGTAGAGGTTCGCCACTTCCTCGGCCATCTGAGCAGACCTCGACATCATGATGGCGCCTGTCGCATTCTCGTTGCCGCTTCCCATCGTCGGACTGCGGGTATAGGGTTCCGCTCTATAAGTCCTCACCGTGCCCTGCAGCCCAGCCCTTCAGCTGAGCTGGATGGAACCTCACGTGAGAAAAGGTGGCGCGCGCAAACCCAGATTGGTAGCCATCCATCAACCTATCTCGAGCCCACTGCAGGTGCGCGCCGTATGTCTGCGCACAAGTCGTGACGCCAGTCCTTCTCTATCGAGACCACTTCCACATTGAGGCCCCTCTTCTCTGCAATCCTGTGACTATGGACTTAAGCTCCACCCTAGGGATGGCGAGGTCCTGCGAAGTGATGTAGAAACCTGAACTTCCTGGAACTGATGCAGTTTCTTCTGAGCTTCCCTTGTCCTTGTCGTTGTCCTCCCCCTTCTGATCTCCACCGTCATCGCTCCACTTGGTTCCCCTTCGTCGCGTTCTTGTTGTCCACCCTTCTCCTTCGTTTCTTGGACGTGCACTTGTGCGCCGGATGTCCGGTGAATTGCAGGATGAGCAAAGATGCGCCCCTTCACCATGTTCATGCACCCCGGCTGGCAAGGAACCACACGGCGAGTTCCCATTGTTCCAACTCAAGCAGATGGCGTCGGATTGCTTTCCTCCTTTCGCCTTTCTTCTCACTTCCTTTGCCACTTTGTCTTCGATCTCCCCGGGAGTCTCCGCGGGATTCTCGCAAGCGTTGAAGTTCTTCTCTTTCTGCCTGCCACTTCCTCTCCTTTGCTTCCTTGTGCTCCTTGTTCGCCTGCCTTTATGTCGAGGAGGTTGCTGAGGGTGAAATGGTCCCGAACGTTCCAGGCTCCATCGACGGTTGAAGCCTGCGCAATTGCCTCTTGTGGGGTCATGGCCTTCCCTCGTGCCCCGCTTGCCATCCAAGTCAATGCTGGTGCGTGGATCTGGTCTTGCCAAAACTTGAGCTCGCTCGGGACGATCTTGAAGACCGCATCCCATGGCTCCTTGTCGTCGTAGCCCACAAACCCTGGCTTGCCGTCCTTCGAGTCCAGGTTGATCTTTTCAACCTGGAGAGTAGTTCGCTCCTGGCCATCTCGGGCCCAGTGCCAAGCATCTGGGAACGGTGTCGTCAACTTCTCCACGCAAAGCTCGTACGCATGACGTGGGGCTGGGGAGCACACCTGCAGCATCAGCATATGGCAGTGGTGAACACCCGACAGCAAGCAGCAAGCTCTCCATTGGGTGAAGTTTGCAGGGCCCGGCAATTCCTGCAACACATGGCCGTTATGATGGGGCGTCTCTCACGCCTTTCCTCGCTTGAGCCAAAGTTTCAAGGTCGGTACACTTCTTGATTTGCGCACCTTTCGAAAAGAAGTGAACGGGTAGAGTGGACCTGTGCACCGACCACACTCCCCCTATAGCTTCTCTGAAGCCATTGCCTTGTTGGGGCCCCGCTGGTTTTTTCGTCCGCGGTCACCCATCAAAATGTTGAAAACTCGCATCGGAGTCTGTATCATCCACGACCCTTGAGGTCATTCCAAAGCCCTCACGCGGCTGCTAGGGCTCACGTCTTGGCAGCGGCCCTTGCGTAGCAATGCCCCATCGTTGGTACTTCTTCAGGATTCGGTGATGCCTGCTCTGGTAGTTCAGGTAAGTCCGGACCCCGATACTCTCAATTCTCGGCGAGCTGGAGGCAAGTTGTTGCTGACCACTCGCCACCCCTCATTCACCATGACATCCAGCGATCGCTGCCATCCTTCTCGCTCGGCTTCTCCCATCATGTCCTCTAATGAGGTTCGCCAATCCTCTCTCTGCTCATCACTAAAGGTAAGGCCGTCATGGCCTCAAGATCCCTCTGCCCAATAGGTAGCTGAAGCTGGATCATAGCCCTATTTCCAGACCGCCCTCGTCGGCCTTCAGCGCGTACGTCCCGAAGTTCCCCCCCGTAGCCTAGACGCAAACTCCGACCCATCGCATCTCGCCCCCGAGCGAGCGCTGTTGAACCCCCACTAGATGAGCTTTCCATTGACGCCGTCGTCGGGCTCCTCCTCACACAGCGTACTTCACGAAGGACCTTCTCACGCTGGCAAGCCATCGCCCGTTTGCTCTTGCCTCAACGGCTCTCCTCTTGGTTGCTCTGCACTCGGCATTGGCAGAGGCCCAGATGTCAACAAGCTGTTCATAGACGAGGAGGTTCGATCCCCTTGCCCCTTCGTGGTTGAAGAGCTCGAACTTGAGAGAAGTGTGCCGGACACTGTGGCCGGCGGAGTCTCCCCGAAAAAAGTGTAGCCCACCCAAGTGTCACTCACTGGAGGTTCCGTCATCGTCCTCCAGTCATCGTCACGGATCATCGCTCACCATGGCACCAGATCACGGTGATTCGTCGGCTCTGCACCTGGCCACTGTCGAAGGGCGTCTTCCGATGGAAAGGTCTCACCCACCATCCATCGTCCAACAGCTCAAACGTGTGCCTCACTCTTCCAAGACTCTCGACGTCCCAGGTCCTCCAGCCGCAGCCGCCAGTTCCTCTCCACGGCCTCCAGCATGTAGTGCACCGCCCGCCGCCGCTCAATCGTGCCCTCCTGCCGCTGCCACCGTCGAAGCTCATAACCTGTGGTTATGATGGGGCGTCTCTCACGCCTTTTCTCGCTTGAGCCACAGTTTCAAGGTTGGTACACTTCTTGATTTGTGCACCTTTCGAAAAGAAGTGAACGGGTAGAGTGGACCACAAAAACAAAACATGCCTGGTGCAGGGCGGGGCTTGAACCCAAATGGAAAGGCTCAGCCCCTTCCCAGGTGCTTCTGTATTTTGCCATACAGAAAAACTAGTTTTCTTTCAAGACCCAAAAGTTTTAGAGTTTGAGCATACACATGCAATCACTACACAGTATATACAAAGGATCAAGCTTCTCAATGTTTGAGGCCCCAAGGGAAGCCCTTTGATAGATTTGATAAATTTGAGCTTTTGCAGTGATTCTTCACCTGGCCCAAGACAAATCCATCAGCGTTTAATAAACGAGACCTCTTGGCTTGAAAATAGTTTGAAAAGAGTAGGCTGACGACAAATGTGGGCAAGGAAGATACTTATGTGCATGAACGAACATTGCCTTGGACGAAGAAAGCACTTTCATACAACGAGCAAGCTCTTCTACACAAGTAGCTCCATGGAGGAAAAGGCCCTGTAAAGGAGAGTCTTTAAGAGAAGGGCACGGTCATGCCTTACGACGAAGCCTACAGGGAAGAACAGACCTTATACGAAGGATCCGCTGGCCTGCCGGCATGTCTTATGGATCTTTCTTGAGACTCAGCTCTTTGCCTTGTTGTTGGTCTAGCTTAAATTCCTCCCCCGGACAGGTTTCTGCTTCCTCAAACCCCGGGTACCCCTGTCTTCAGAGACCTGTCCGCTACACTGTGGAGACCTGTACTCTCCGACCTTTACTAAAATTTCAATGGATGTCAGAAGGCAGCCACACGATGGCGGTGGCAAACGCCAGCAGCGGTCAATTAAGAATCATATGAAGAAGAAAGTGGGATACTTGAGGAAGTTTGATAGAGAAAGAATGAGATCCTTATAGACAAGGAGCCTACGTATTGACGCTCTTGTATGGGGAGAGGTATGAAGAACCGATCCTTCAAAGACGGGCATTTTGATCCCAACATCTTTCTTCTCTGCAGGAACTCTTAAAACGAATACTCAGAAGATAAAGTTTGGGGGGAGGTGGATATATCTGATTATCTACACTTTTTGTCTAAGTCTAAGCCTACACTACTAGCAAGTCAGATCGGTCTTTGCTGGTTGTTCGTTGCTGTTTTTGCACCCAACCTCCCTATCTTCGCCTGGCATGCTTCCTCAGCTTCCTCCTCCTAATCCTCATTTCAATCCATCCTATCCCCGAATATCGACAAGCTACCTGCTGAACGCTCCATCTACTGTATGGTATTGTGTGCTCAAGCCATTGTACCTTCGATATCTATCTGTATCTCGCTATGTGCCTAGTCACAATGCAATTCAGGTGACTTGACCCTCGCCTTCAGCACTCTTCGGTTATAATCAGATTCTTCTATATACAGTGTATATATATATATGTATATTCGTTTTTTTGCATCTTTTTGCTACTTTCTTCAGTCAAACCTCTCAGCCTCTTATGTAACAGGAGGCTCGTGCAAGCTCAAAAGGAGCTCCAAAGTATTTAAGGATTGATCCCTCACCCTGAACGCATATAAAAATTTAGTTATTTGTGTCTGAAGCTGTTTCAATGCACTCAACTATGCCGTGCATTGACCTCCTTGAAGAGAAAAAGAGCAACTTGACCAAACCGGCTGTCAGCAAGAAGCACCTGGAAGCCAATGGCTCACATTGTGCCCTCTGGGGGCCACAAGGCCAACGAAGCTTGAACTTTGGACACGCAGTGAGGCGTCTGGTTTCACATGAGTCCAAGGTTTCACATGCCTCCTTTATGCCGTCCACACCCCATTTGCTCAGGGCCTTGCAAGTGACCAAATCGTTCAGATCGTGCACTCTTGAGTATGTACACCTGCTTCAGTGCTGGTATGGTGATGTCTCTCGCAAGATTGCCAGCCTGAGGGCGAAACAACATTTGACGTCAAGAACTTGGAAGGTTTCACCAGTTCCATCCGCTTGGAGAACTTTTTTGCTACGTTCTTCTTCAGACCTTTTCCAATGTTTTTCTTTTTGCTCTGCTTTCTTTTCTTGTATTCATGATCGTACAGATTTGATATGCACCGTGCACAATGTCTCAATACCTATATAGTGAGTCATGTCCTTGCATCAACAACACCTTGAATTGAAGCTTTGCTGCTTGCACAGTACGTAGGCAGCGCACCTTAACCATTGGGCCGGGGGGGCGCTTGCCACCCGGCCAAACCTGAAGCAGCAGCACATAGGCTCCGACTTGAAAGCAAAGCTGCTCGTTTTTTTCCTCCAACACCTTCAGGGCCCGGCCACTCCGGTTGCCTTAGAGGGCAAAATGTAGCAACGATAGCTTTCGATTCTGCTTAAAGACCCGCTCAACCCTTTCCCACTCGCCGAGGATCTACGATAAGACACCTTCACCTGTAATCAATGTACTACTGCACATCTTTAAGCCGCTTGAATTGGTACACCTCTCTCGAACGCACGGGAAAGGATTGTTGTGATGTGGCCTTCTTGCTTCATAGTCATAGAGGTTGGTGGGACGAATATTTTGGCAGGAAGTTCTTCTACATCACTGATTACAGCGGGCAAGTACAAGACCCAGCAAAAAGGGAGAGATGTCAATTGCAAGGAAAGGCAATCATAAAAACCTTTCCATTATTGTTTGTTCGGCTGCTCAAGAATGGCTCGCTGTGTTTCCTATCCCTCACATGTTCATGATCCTGGATTGAGGAGCCCCCAGAATGCCAGATCTACAATGCTTCACCATCTGGCCAACCATCTATTGCTTGGCCTGCTTGCCTCCTATTGAACCTAAGTTGAACAAGCCGAATATGACTGAGAAACGGGCGGACGCAGTTGGTTACACTGGTTACTGGTTAATGCCTTGTGGAATAATAATCAGCTGCGCTTGGGCAGGTACTACAGTAAAAGAACAGGCTAAAGCGCAATGTGTTGTTTTTCACAACTCATACAACCAGTGTTGCACATTTTTGCTCAAATGAGAGCGTGATCAACGTGGTGACCAAGAACGTGGCAGATGTGACCGTTGATACTCTTCCAGATGCAGCATAACAAAAACCTATTGCCTCAAAAATTGCAGTCATGGCCGTCTATTCTTTCTTCTCTAGGTGGGACACTAGCAGCCGGCTGAGAAGCGTTTGTTGGGTGGAGCCAGCACGTCTTGGTTGCGCATGTCAGCAACTAGACACAAATGACAGAGGTCACAGTGGACAATGTTCAGCCGATGCTCGCAACGACAAAAGCTTGAATTGCCTTAAAACCAAGGTATATGAGTGCAAGCTCAAGCAACACGGCAAATTGAATGGGTACATGATTCGATTGCACTTGGCGAGAAGAACTGTTTTATACAATAGAAAGGTGAGAAAACGCGGCGTGTATGGTTTTCCTTAGTGAGCAGAGTGAGCAGCGTATTCAAAATATGTAATGCCGTGCCACACCAACCTCATCACATTCACTTCATTTACAGTACAGTATCTGACTTGAAAAGGATTGCATTTAAAATCTGCTAAAACCGGTGATTGGGATGGGCAAAACGAGTCAAAACAAGTCTGTGGCCTACTCACAACATGTGAACTGAGGAAATTGAATTTTTCAAACGCTTTCTGCATCTTTCTGTTCCAATGCCTCATGATCATTATCCTAAGCTTGCCCTTGTCAAAGGCAAATCCCAAACCACTAAAAAATCACCAGTGCCTTAGCATTCACCTACAACCCACCCTGAACCGCCGCTGCTGAGTTACAGTATCAATTCCAGTAGACTCAGTAGACACAGCCAAGTTGACACATGGAAACAAACAAGAGAGAGAGAGAGAGCAAAATGCAGTATACATACATACATACATGGCTCAAGCCGCAAGTGCTCAAACCGGCACCCCATCAAGACCGGTTAGTGCAGCACCCCCAAGCGAGCATATCCGGCAGTACCTGAAGCTGCACGGCCCATCGATAAGTCCAAGTACAACACATTCTTTGCTCGCTATCTTCGTCTTCCTTGAGCACACCCCGGCCATCCTCTTCGGTGCCTGGCAGCGCTCGCTTGGCTATCTCTTGGAGGCTCACCTGGGGACTGGGCTTTTTCCTTGTGGAACCCTCAGGCCTGAACTTGCTCGGTGCCACCCAGTTTGCCCATTTGGCTGACTACCTGAGAGCCAAACAGTTGCCCCAGATCAGGGATTATGACGCCACAATGGGGACGTGCTTACATGACATGTCCGAAACAGGACTGTTACAACTGGATCTGGATCGACAAGCTCAGATCCGGAACCAAATGTCGAAGATGTGGTACCTGGTGGCCTGACACCACTACTCGCACAGGGAAAGGCAAAGGCTATGGACGACCCGCCAACAAGCACACCTCCCATCAGCAGTGGTTGGACACCCCACCAGGCCTCACGAAGATCAGGCCTTTGAAGAAGACCAAGATGCAACAAGAAGCTACAGAACTACTTATATAATGGCAGCTGGTCCACCCTACCGGAGGAGACACAGATCAAGCTTCAAGCTCTTGGCATAGGACCAACCAAACGAGAGGAACCTGAGTTGACCGACATTTTGAAGACTCATATGGACGCCCTGCCACCACAGGTCCAACAGATCGTGACCAAGCTCACGGCACCAGAGCCATGCACTGAGCGGGACATTGCCACCAAGCTCAAAGGCCAGGTGACAGACCTCAAGGCCATGTCCATACGGAAAAACCAGCTGCAGGAGAAAATCGATGGAGTCAAAGCCCAATACGCCTCATTACTCTCTGACATGCAAGAGCTACAGGGCAAATTGGCTGAAGGGCAGAAGGCACTCCACAAACTTTCCCAGGACTACATGACCGCCATCAACCAAACCCCAGCACCAGCTGAACTGACGGGAGGCAATGGAGAGCCAGAGCAGATTCCAATGGCTGTAGAATCCTTTGTACACAGTTTGGGGATCTCGAGAAGAGCAGAAGAATCAACTGCACGGGCTCCTCAAGCGACCCAATCAGGACCCTGACGACCCAACCAAACGGAGGAAAACCGATGGCATTGTCACTCCACCTCCTGGGCATTGTGGGTAACAGGGACAGGGCGGAACAACAGCTGGGGTGGACCTTTCCGCTTTCGGACGATGACTCATGGTCATGTGACGGGACGGAGGAACACAGTTTGGGGACTCTTGTTGAACAAGACACCAGTTTTGATGACGAGCCAATGGGACACCAACCACACAACAGGTGGACCAACACCAACGGCTCCAATGGCGAAACACACCGGAACACTTGTGAAGGGGACATTTCACAACCGCTCTCCGGCACATCGATGAACCAGAGCTCACGACACACCACAAGGGTTGGCCGTGCTGCCTCAGGCTCAACAGCTTTATCAAGTTCCAGTGCTACCAGTGTTGGGGAACAAACACGCAGCACAACTGTTGAGCCCTTTCAAGACAGCTCAACGCATCAAGGGATCACCGTTGCAGGGGATGAGCAACTCAATCAATGTTCCAGAGAACCTCAACTGGGGTTACCAATTTTGCATCAACCATCGGAAGCTCCGGCGCCACCACATGGGCCTTGCCTGACGATCACTGGAGGTGCCTCGACCACGCCCACCACCTACTTCGACAGTGGAGAGACACCGTCCTTCATGAGCACCCATTTCTATGCCTCCACCACTGACCTCCTCCTCCAGAACTTGAGCATGGTGGTTGGCAATCCCAGTGCACGGTGTTTCGCCAACGCACCGTGGCGCGCTTTCTGCTGGATGCGCGCCTACCTAGCAGAATTCAACCGAGACCCCTGGGGAGTCATCAAAGATGCCGTGCAAACTTCCTTGGAGCTCTCGGAACCGGTTGACATACAAAGACTGCCATGGCCTACACCAGCTCTGGGACCCTGGGAGAAACACAACCTCAACCTAGAAGGTGATGCTGCCCACTTTGTGCATTCTCTGTGGGTCCACTCACAGACCAGAGTCCTGCAGTATCGCCACACCGAGATCAAAGAAGGAGGGTACGTCACGGAGCACATCCAAGTCCCACTCATCGTTGACTACCCTGATGAATTCCTGGGCGAGATCACCTGGCAAGAGCTGATGAATTGCTGGGCCAACCACGGCTATGGACAGTACCTCGGAGATGATAAGCTGGTCCACATTAGCCACATCAACAGAGCAGTCACCATCGAAGGCACAGTGACCAAACACAAACGAGCCCTCAACCCACATGGACCATACACCGTCCCACGATCCTTGGACGGGTTTTCCAGAGCCAGTTCTGAATACATCCCCATGGCATACATATGCCATAGAGGACCCACCCATGAGACTGGGCACTACTACGCCATTTTGGTGTACAAAGACCTCATGTGGATTGCGGATGATGGAGCCACACCAAAGGTGTTATCCTTTTCGACGCCCCAACTTGCTGGCCAGATCGTCCAAGTCTGGGGCATCCAGACCTCGGCATTGATCACACCACGACAAATAGCAAGGGCATTGCCGCCTCCCGAAACCCCAGACTACGATCCTCCTCTCCACGGCACACCACCCAAGAAAGCAAGACACACCCAGGAGAACATGCGCCTCCATGTGGCTAACATCACAGCCTTTGGCAAGAGTACCCTCGACTGGTACTGGACACGTGACAACGAGATCTACATCCTGGTTGAGACCCACCTTGACCGGCAAAAGCATCAAACCATGTGCCAATACTTTGAGGTCCGCGGCAGACATGCCTTTGGCTACCCAGCCCACAGCAATACAACCAACGACGGCACTCATGGGGGAATCATGGTCATCCACGACACTGCACATGGGCTAACCCAACTGGAGGCTTTTGAGATTGAAGGCTGTGGATACCAGGCTTTTCTCTCGGAAGCAAAGGCAAGAACCATCCTGGTCGTCGCCGTCTACTTCAAAACCAATGAAACGATCCAAGGCACCACCAATGCCCAAATCCTGGCGCGGATTCTTGCACTCCTGGATGCCACCACACGGCAGTTCATTCTGGTGGGGGACTGGAACAACCATCCGGAGCAGTTCCAGGGCACTGTCCTCAGCTCCAAGTTCCACTGGCAAATTCTGGCGCCAGATGCCACCTTGCTCAATGGAAACACTGTGGATTACGCCATTATCCAACAGACACTGGCTGCGTGCACCTCCATGACCACTGAATGGGCTGTCCCCTGGCGACCCCACTGCCTCCTCACCTATGCCCTGGAGCTCGAGGATGATTTCCGGCTGTACCACCAACTCCGGAGTTTTCCTCCCTTACCCAACGTTCCTGACATTGGTTTCAGAGCTTGGAGCACATACGTCACACAGGTCGAACAGCTCCAACTGTACGAGAGCACCCCAAACACCGGAGCCCAAGGGCTAGCAGATTGGGTCTCGATCACCGAACAATACCTTCTGCAGCAGCACCCATGGGCAATCCAGGGACGAGCATCCAGCCTGACCACACAACATCTCCCATTGGTGCCCGCGAAAGCAGGTGGCATCTGGAAGAAAGGGAAGGCTGCGTTTTGGGAACAAATTCAGGCACGGCTCAACCTGATCCAACACCAGCCTGCCAAGGCTCCGGGGGCCATACAGGGGCTCAACAAAGCACTCCAACACGTCCAACACCACTGGTTGGGCGACCAGACATGGGGGCAGTTCCTCGACACCCACCACCATTGGGTACAATACCGTGATGACCGTACCTTTGAACTCC